TGTGTGAATTGTTGATACTGTCCTACCAATTTGATTTGAAACTGTCTCATTACTATTTGTTTATCAATGAAATTATGGGAAAATATTTTGTATATACAGACACAAAAAAAATAAAAAATAAAAGTAGCACAGCTCTATGAGTTAACATAGGTGGGACTAATTTTCCAAAATGTATTTTTGGGAACACTTATGATTAAAAAATCCAACCCTTTGATAAAGTGAGGTTTAAATCACTTCTGTCACCAACCTGCAAATATTATTGACTGAGTCTTCTGGACAGTGGTGGTGGCATTTGCATCGCAAGATCTTCGGACGAGGGGTGGGGGCCGTACTCTCACCCTCCTCTTTCTTGGTGCCCACATTTAATTTTCCTGAACTTCTCAAAAGCATGTTATCAAAGTTTGCTGAAAAGAAGAAATAATCAGAGTTAAGTATCTGTAAGTCAGCATACCAGAGTCCCCTGTGCAAGGGTCAGATTAGATTAAATAAGAAATGAAATATTCATGACACTGAAAGACTTTCAATAAAAATTTTACTTTCTGTATAGTATTAATGTCATTACAATATAAGTAACCCATAATTCTTCAAGATATGCTTTATATACTCAATTATAAGGTTGCATTTATCTGGGTACAAGGAGGTGGATAAAACATTAGATCACTCTGTGTGTTAGCACCATAGATAAACATTATTAGTCTTATGTCTCACAGAAGAAAATAGAGACATAAAGGTTAAGTAATGTACACATAGTCAAGAAACCATAGATCCAGTATTTAAAATTCAAATTGTTTGAAGCCTAACATTGTCTTTTTATTTCATGACAAGAGGTCTCACTACTGGAAGGACATCAAAACTATTTTATTTGTAAAACTAGACAGAAAATTTAGCAACAACCAAGACATATCTGAAAAGACATGTCTACCCCCATTAGATTTTATCTGAAGAAGTGCCAATCCATTGGTAATGATCCTTCTTTTATCTTTGAGGGAGGACTCTATGGTAGACATGATGGCATAAAGGTAGTTTCTGGGTTCAACAACAGGCTTCAATGTTTACTAATTAGCTGTCTTTGGGTAAGTCTATAAATAATCTTCTCATTCTTCATATTCTTAAATCCTTAAAGTGGAGAGTATTATAAGCAGCTACACCTGATATCAAGAGCTCAGTGTGTACAAGAAATATGAAGAATTGGCAAATGTGATTAGATCAAGTTCCAAAGCTTCCACACAGCAAAACAGCCAAATGCAGCTTCTCTAACTGCAGTGGAACACCCATCTCTGACAAAACAAAACAAAAAAGGGGGATACAAATAAAGTACCATTTTGTTGTG